GTTACTTTGTTTTTGGAGCTTACAGTGATTCAGACAGAATATTAGTAAGTGAACATATAAGTCAGAAATACTATGGAGAAAAATAAATTAAGGTTAGAAGAGTAGTAAGAGAATCATCCCAGGCTATGCCACTGGGTGCACTAACTCAGAGCAAGTTGCTCCATGCTCAAAATGAAAAATATCAGTCCATTTCAGCTCAAGGTGCCTAGTATATCCATCTTTATATGTTGCATTTCATTTTTTTATCATTTTGAATTTTTCTAGTGTCATACATCTGAATTATTAATGGATGTTGACATCAGTTTCTTCTCATTTTGAGCCATGCGCCATCAGCAGATGACTGCCCTGAATGCTCTATTGCACGCACATCATGAAGGTCCACCCTCTGTGTAGGAGGCAGCTCTTCCTCATGCCTTCATCCCCGGGGGGGGGGGGGGGGGGCTCATCTTCTGGTCTGTATCAGACAGTGTCGCACGGCAATTCAGATGGTTTTCTTTCAGTGGCTAATCCCTCACCAGTTGGCATCTTATTTCTGCTTTCCAGTCTGTTCTTAGTCTGAAAGTTCCACCAAAGCCTGTTCACCATGGGGATCCTGATATTTGAAATACTAATAGTTGAAATACTGTGATAAATAGCTTTCAATATCATAGCAACATGCAAGCCACCACAGGATGACAGTGTCAATTACTCACATCAATTCACACTCAGATGTGACAAAAATTCATGCAATGCAAATTCATCATGTTTCCGTGGAGTATTTTGACAACATAGATTATTTTGAACTTCTTGTTAATTTTATAACTCAAAAATAGCATCTCCTTGATGTTTTGAGCTGTTTTTTCACTTGAACCTTTTCCCAGTAGCCTGATATTATATTGATCAAATCTTAACTGGTGGCTTATAAGTAATTCTTCCTTTCTTAACAGAAATTCTTGAGAGTAGTAATTGTATCTGCACCATCTTTAAATTTCTGATTTCTAACACATGGAAACTTGGTGGCATATTGGGTTACAAATTTGGCTGCTAATCTCAAGGCTAGTCATTCAGACTCACCCACTGCTTCAATTCCGTTCTATTTTAAATACTATCTTAGAGTGGATGCTGAGTCTGAGTGAGCCTATAGGACAGGGTAGAACTGCCCCCTTAGAGTTTCCGAGACTGTTACTGTCTGTGGGAGTAAAAAGTCTGTCTTTCCCACTTGGAGAGGCTGGTGGTTTCAAACTGTTGACTTTGTGGATTGCAGCCCAAAGTGTAACCACTGTGCCACCCGGGCTTAGCAGGAGAAAAACAAAGCTTTCTGTTCCCATAGAGATTTACAGTCTTGGAAATCCTGGTGATGTTGGGCTGCTGACCATAAGCCAACAATTCCAAACCATCAGCTGCTTCACAGGAGAAAGATGAGGCTTTCGATTCACATACAGATTAAAGTCCCAGAAACCCACAGAGGCTGTTGTACCTTTTCCTAAAAGATCACTCTGTCAGAATCTACTAGATGGAAGTGAGTATCAATTGGAATTGACTCAATGACAGTGGACTTGCTTGTTTGTTGTTTGGTTAACAAATGGTCAGACATGCTAGTAGCTCTAGAAATATAGATGAGCTGGTTAGGTGAAATGGAAGTTTCCTATTCTTTTCTCATTAACTGATTATAAACAAGTACTTTTATTAATTTATATAATCATTTAGAACGGTGGTTAATCTTTGGCCATCAAAAATTTTTTTTAATTTTTTAATTAAAAGATCATTTTATT